ATAAATGGAAACACATTACTATTTCCATTGAACATCGATTTCATGCCCTAGAAAAATTAAACTATCAATCATGTAGTTAAATTGACAATTTTATCAACAAAGTGGTCATTTTTCAAATATGTTTTCATTTACTTACTTCGTCAATATTTATGTTAAATAAAATGCAAATTGCTCGTTTTCAAGGTTTATAACTTTGGACAAGTTTGGGCATTTTGAGAATTTAGCCAATGCAAGTTCACATGAGCCAAATAACTTAGGTACACGTTCAAGTTTCAAATATTCTTTCAGTAAAAAATCTTGTCTTAGGTTTGGAACATAAAACAAGCAAAGTAGAGTGGGAACTCCACAAGGTCTCTATTGAAATACCTCCAAAGGAATGAAATATTTGTCCTGACTCTGAAAACTAGATGCACTTTACGACTTTAACATCAAATTTGGGATTTTCATAAACAATTCGAAATGATTTACAATGTAAATTGTGCACAGACATACTCGTAGGTGAAAAAACCGCTACACAATCAAAAAGTGCAAAATATTCCATCAAGCAGCCTAGAGTAAATCAACAAGCATCATGACCCATCGCAACACCAGTCTCTCAAGGACATCGCATGGCCACGAATCGGGTCGCTAAAGCACAAGACTTTTTCCCTCAAGATTTCCCCCAAAGTTCATGATTTTATAATGAATTTTCAGGTCTACAATAATCAAGTTTCCACGTTATATCGTGTATTTGTCACATGGGCCATCTAAATTACATTCAAATTTAGGGTTAAGAGAACTTCTATCATGTTTATCATAATTAAGTCATTTTATGCTCCCACACAAAGGTTTAAAAAATTGGTGATTCAATCTAGGGCGATTAGGATCGAGAATCGCTCAGAACACTCCAGATTAGGCCAAAAAACAGGATTCGGGTGGTTCAAAATAGTAAAATCGCCGATTTTTTCGCGAAACTGTCAATTCCGGCTGCCGATCCAAAAATTATCGATTCTTCCGATCCGATCCACCGGTTCCTTAGATCCGACATGGGTATGAGTGTAACCGATTCGAGTCACCGAACCGTTTTTTTAAACCTTGCTCCCACATAAGCAAACTGCCCATTACTCCCTCGAGCAAATAGGGGTATGTGTAAGACCCTTAATTTTGGGGATGTATCCTCTCTAGACTCAAAGAAAAAAACATTATCATCCGAGCCTTATCACACCTATTTAAAAAAAAAAAAACATTATCATCAGAGCCTTATCACACCTATTTTGGGTCGGCTATGAGCCTAGAAAAAATAATGCCCCAAAATCGAATGAACACCATATAATTTTTGGACAACAAGATTTAAGTGTTGAAGAGCTCAAAATCTTCTTCTTTTTTCCACTCGAGCAAATAGGGGTATTTGTAAGACTCGAAATTTCGGGGATGTATCCTCTCTAGACTTAAAAAATAATCATCTCTGAGCGTTATCACACCTATTTTGGGTCGGCTATGAGCCTGAAAAAAATAAAGGTGCAGTTGGCATACGAATGCATCAGTAGTTGTAGAGGTAAGGTTCGCCTTCAAATTTTATCATGGTATAATTTTGATGTAAATGTTCTTAGGATTATCTCAAAATCTATTTTTATATCTAATTATAAAATTTTAAATTTCAAAAATAGTTAAAATCAAGTAGATCTATAAACATATGAAAATCTTGAAAATGGACGGTGTTGATAATATGTTGTAAAATGCACTATTTATGAGACTTAAAATCTATTTATTTTTTATGGTCATACATCTCGATATCAAGACGATCATTCAAAGGGTTTTTCAACATTAAAACTACCTTTTCCAATGGATTTTTGAGGTGCATCCGGAGCTCTACATTATTAGGTTGCAACCTTATATAAACTTTTTCCAAAAAATAATGCCCCAAAATCGAATGAACACCGTATAATCTTTGGACAACAAAATTTAAGAGTTGAAGAACTCAAAATCCTTTTTTTTTTGTTATGAAAATAATCATATGATGATGTATAAATGGAACCTAAGTTTTCAGATCCAAAAAATCCTTTCAAGTACCATTTACCCGGGGAGCCATTAAATAGTTTGCTCTGTTGGAGCATATTACACGTGCTCCTTAATTAATATGAATTTCCACATATTCTAGTTATGAATCAATTGATAATTAACCAAAAGTTTGTAATTCTGGGTCTGATTACAACCTGGAAACAATGAAATTTGCTATTTCAGAGCGCAAAAGTTCCCAATTCTGAGGTTTGATTACAATCTCGAAAGTTTGGGATTGTTCTGTTAGAGTAAGATTGCGGGAACCAAAATCCACATGGAAGATGGTTTGATAGGGCTGCAGCCCTATCAAAATAAGTAAAGCTTTGCTCACAACTCATCGAAAATTATATTTTAAGCATCGGAAAACCTTTACATCGATCATCTCGACTTGAACATTATAGTTGCGAAAAAAAACTTCGGATTTCTAGCTCTAAAAATATTGTATATTATAATAAATTTTCTAAATCATCCATTTGGCCCTAAAAATACATGTTCTAAGATTCACAAGTTTGTACTATTTTTTAAGTTTCAAATTTTATTGTTTTGAAAATTGATTTTAAAACCATCATGAAGATTTACGTTGTCGAAAAGCCTTTCTGGACAAGGATTTGAGGTGGGGGCATTATTTTGTTTTCATAAAGCCGATGCCTTATAGAAACTTCATCCAATCCAAATACCTTGTCTTGAAGGTTGTGGGACCCATGATCCAATATTTTGGCAAAGACACATCAAATGGTAGCATTTGATACTAGAGGTGTGGGAAAGGAGATGGGTCATGGTGGTAGCACACCCCATACTTTAGTCACATATCGTGCCCTTTAATCCCATAGACAACCTCGAAAACCTAACTATTTAAAAAACGGGTAGGAGCCTGTATTCCCCACTAAATAACCCCCAAAAAAAAAATTTATCGTATGTGACGCTGGAGCATGGGAAATATCTAACTAAGTGGGTATTTGGATCATTTAAAAGTGGAAAAAGTTTATATACAATGTAAATCTTATACTATAGAAGTGTGGCCAATGTTTCGATAAACCAGCCAATCCAACTCAGAACCGGCCACTGGCCGAGGTGATTTTGGGCCATTCAGATGGTCTGGCCAGTTATTTAAGAAAAACCTAAATATATACATATAAAAACCCAAAAAATATGGATTTATTTGTATTGTATTTTTTAATGCTTTTACCATTTTGACAAAGATTGGAATTTTTGGTCATCAACACTTATTTTTACATTTTTTTTCTTCTTTTTTGGATTATTTCTAAAATACCCTAAGGCATAAATCGGTTTTCTAAAATCCATTTTTTCACTACTTCTCAACTTCATTTGATGTGATTTGTTAAATTATGCTTTAAATATACTTTTCCTATTTTTAGGATTCTTTATTTGTTTATTTTTATAACACTTTTTGACCGGCCCGAAACCTGCCCAATTAGGCCACGTGAAACTTCAAAACATTTGAAAACTATCCAATTAATATTTTCCACCTTCCAAGGCATGGATCTGAGGAAAAAAAAAACTTCAAATGTATGGATGTGAAAAAAAAAATAGAATAAAAGTCATGGAAATATTGCATCCTGTAATACATTATATGGACGGTCTATTTTCAATATTTTTAAGTGTTTTCGGCATCATTTGGGTATGTGAAGCCTATTTCCATAATATTAAGAGATTTCCTATTTTAATGGATGAGATCTACTGTATTCCTTATTATTATGTGGGATGTAAATACAAATAATAAGAAATGAGGAAGATTACTTCTTTGATAAGGAGTGGCACATGATCTCATAGAGAGAAACTTCCTCACTGCGAAAAAGATTGGGAGAGAGATGGGTACGTGATTCCTTTGTGGAAAAGGAAATCTTTGTTAAGTCCTATTACATTTAGGAAATCTAGTTAAAATAGGAATGGGGATGAGAGGGCTATCACATGATGGATTCTTTAGGTTTTTTTGTTTTAGAGAGAATATGTTGTTTGTTTTGTATGGATGGTATTTTTCTTATTAGTGGGAGAGAACTTTGCTGCCCGTGGATTTTAAGGTTCTTTGCTACCCGTGGATTTTAAGGTTTGAGATATTGTAATCCTTGTATTCTCCGTGGATTTTAAGGTTTGAGATATTGTAATCCTTGTATTCTCAATGGATGAGATATTGGAATCCTTGTATTCTCCATGGATGAGATATTGTAATCCTTGTATTCTCCATGGATGTTGTATTCTCCATGGATGAGATATTGTAATCCTTGCATTCTCCATGGATGGTGTTTTTTTTATTAGTGGAAGAGAACTTTGTTTCCCGTGGACTTTAGGGTTTGAGATAATGTAATTCTTGTATTCTCCATCCTTGGATGGTGTTTTTCTGATTTGTGGAAGAAAACTTTACTGCCCGTGGACGTAGTAGACAATATGTCGTACCACATAAAGCTTTGTATTCTCCATGCTTGAATGATCAGATGTTTTTCTGATTAGTGGAAGACAACTTTGCTGCCCGTGAACGTAGTAGACAATACGCCGTTCACATAAATCTTTGTATTCTCCATACTTGGATAGTGTTTTTTTTATTAGTGGAAGAGAATTGTGCTCTCAATGGACATAGACAACATGTAGTACCACATAAATCGTTGTGCTTCTGCTCTTTTATTTTTCTGTATTATTTTTTTTTCCCTTATTTTTGTCAAACCTTGGTTTTTATACTCTACACTCTTTACTGTTTAACCTTTTATAAATTTCTTATGTTGGAGCCATGAAATGCCAAATTATGATGACCTTAGAAAGCATGTGGGTTTAAAAATGACTAGAATTAGGTATTTCTAGGGCTCCAGCTTCTATGCTGAGAGTATTAAAAATCCTGAAATCCAAACAGTCAAAATGGGGAAGTACCTTCAGGCACAAATTAAGAGCAATCTTCTCAAAAGAAGGGCAAAAGACCATGACTGAATTCCCAATACTCATTTTGCAATGAAAAGGAGCAAACAAATTATATACCCCACGAATTTATTTTCTAAAAACGACCAAACTAAAGGACCATGATATCTGCATATTGTTCACCACCAAGATATTATTCCTAGGAAACAAAATGCATAAAAGAGGGGACCAAGATATTATTCCATTAGGAAACAAAATGGATAAAAGAGGGGAAAAAGTATTATGTAACTAGAACGAAAAGGCAGGTGGGGAATATGTATTTAGGTGGGCTTGGATTCGTCAATAAGCTTGAGTGCTGCAGATGGGTCTGGCAATGCTGGAATTGCACCCTTTTGGGTGGTGCAAATAGCGCCACATGCATTGGCAAACTGAAGAGCATCTCTCAATTTACTTTCAGCCTGAATAGGTAAAGAAAATTAATAAGTTTCATAGTAAAAAGAGTAAAAATAATATCATGCACCAAAAATGGAAATGAGGAAGAAGAAGGTAGATAGATAACTGGCAAAAAACATAGTTATCAAGATCGGATTGTACTAGCTAGTCCGACAAGTCAAACTACCAATGAGTGCCTTGATTAGTTTGTGGTCTAAACAAAATCAGATTTGATCAAAACTAATATTTAACCGATTTTAGTCAGTCAGACTGGGTGATTTTAGCCGGTAAAATTGGCTAAACCAAGTTAGACAACTTTGTTTTGTGGACACCGCCTCCAACTAGTCCATTAGTAGGTCCAGAATCCCTTCCATCTCGCCAATCTCGTCTTCCCTTTGGTTATACGTGAACAAAACTATTTAAGCTGGTAGGTTAGGTCCATGTCTCTTGACTTATTATATAGGCACGAAGCCATCCCAGCCAGGTTTCATGATTTATAAAATATTATTCTAATTTTTTTAAAAATAAACCCACCCAACCAATCAGCTTGACTGAACCAGACTCATCACAGATTTGCTTAGTCAAATAGTAATGCCAAAAATATTCATGAAGATCATCAAAATCTTTTTCTAACTGATTGGAAGTGGTAACACAAGTATTAAAAAAATCAAAACAATCCATTTTCACTATTTTCATATGTTTATAAATCTACTTGATTTTAATCACTTTTTAAAGTTTAAAATTTTATATTACATTTGAAAGTAGATTTAGAGAAAATTTTAAGAATATTTTATATCAAAATTATATGTTACCATAAAATTTGAAGGTGTGCCTTAAATGGATTGTTTAAGGTTCCAACCTTATATATATAGGGAAAGGATCCTGTCACCCTACGGGCTGACTGCTACAGTGTCAGCCAACGACCCAGGGTCAGATCCAATGGTCACGATCTCATTTCGTATTTGAATTTTCATTTTGTTTTACTACAAATCTAAATCACTTGAAATTTTTAGCATTTATTCTTCAAAAATAGGATAAGCTAATAAAAATATAAAA